CCTTTTCATTATTCTTTTTCATTAAAGGTTATTGCAAGATATTGAATATAGTTCCCTGTGCTGTACAGAAGAATTTTTTTTTATCTATTTTTATATTTATTGTGATGAAGAATTTCATTATGGAGCCTCTTCTTACATGCTGAAACATCCTTTTTTTCCAGGACCGTGAGAATGCCCGCAAAATCCATGAATCGGCAGGACTGCCATTCTTTGAGATATTTGTAGATGCGCCTCTAAACATCTGTGAGAGCAGAGATGTAAAAGGCCTCTACAAACGGGCCCGAGCTGGGGAGATCAAAGGTGGGAGAGCGAGCTCAGTGGCACCTTTGCCAGTTACTTTTGCTACCAATTCGTGTTACTAGTCTGTCCCCAGAAATCTATCTGAAGTTTTGAAAGCAGTTTTCCAAAATTGCACATAACACAGATAACTTTTTATCAAACCATAATATCTTCCATATGTCCTTGGGCTTTTTAAAATGCAAGCTTATATTTTTTAAGTAATGATCACCCCAGCCACAAGCAGTCAAGTTCAGAGGACTACAATGGATAATATGTGAGCGTGTGCCTGGGAGGAACGTTTCAGGGTTTACCTCCTTCTTGTCTTCCTTTTCGATTCTGATCAGCTGCAGGGGGCTTGGACCCAGCTAGCCATATTTTGTTGATAATTTGGGGCTTTCTATATTGGAAACACAGCTGTATATTTTCTTACCTATGGCCTGAGGTCAAGGATGGCTGTTTGGCCTTTTCTGTTATAATCTGAATATAACGGTTTAAAACATTATCCCAACGTGTGTTACGTCTTGTTGATTAAAAAGATTGTGCTGTTGGTGCAGATGTGAACTTCACCCTTCTGCGTTGCAGGCTTTACGGGTATTGATTCTGATTATGAGAAACCTGAAACTCCCGAGCTTGTGCTTAAAACCAACTTGTCCTCAGTGAGCGACTGTGTGCAGCAGGTGGTGGAGCTTCTGCAAGAGCAGGTGGGTGGACTGAATGTCTTTTTTTTTTTTTAGTAATTTTTTAAAGTCATGAAAATTGTCTGTTAACAGAAGTGTTCTTTTTATAGTTTTCATTCCAAATTGTGACCAAGTCTGCTTCATTTCAGAACATTGTACCCCATACTATAATCAAAGGCATCCACGAACTCTTTGTGCCAGAAAACAAACTCGACCAAGTCCGAGCTGAGGCTGAAGCTCTTCCTTCACTATCGATTACCAAGGTAAGAGGGTGCGAACTGGCAAAGGAGAATTAGGCTTAGAATCAGCCATTATGATCCATTTACAGTTACTCTTAATAATAAGGTAGGTACACACAAGGAAAACACAACGTCCTAAAAGAAAAACACTTCATTTTGCCAATTTTTTTTTTTACCTCTTGTCTGAGACAGTCACCAGGAGTTGCCTCAAGGCAGCTGATCAATGCCATGCACAGGGGCAGACGGGGAAGGCAGCTTCTGTATCTGCATGGGACCGTTTTATATAGTTGTCATTATACCTTCAGTTATGCCAACATGCACGCACTGGGCGGTAACTGTTTGTTGGCCGTTGCTGAGAAAATAGTTTGTCCAGAATACAAGTGTTTCTTGGACCACTGAAAAGGAATTTGAAGAAAGCAAGAAGCAACCCTGATCTAAAGTGATGTGAATGCCTTCATCTTTTTTCTGCTCCGCAAATCCCACTCTTCTCTCGTCAGGGAGAGTCCAGTCTGAGGAGACAGGGAGACAGCTTTGGTTGCACTGATTTTTCTACCTGGAAGATGTAAGATGTAGTTCCAGCCAACAGCCTTGCAGACGCCTTGGCCTTTCCGTGGGTCAGTGTTGGTTGATCTATACGAGGTGATTGAGTCTTCACTGGCAACTTTTTGGTATCTCTTAAAACCTTGGACATTTTTATAAGAGGCAGAGTAAATTGGGAACGTGCCTCAGCTCATGAAGATCCCAGACTTTCGTAAGTCACAACAAATTTATAAACAGAACTCCTAACTCTACACAATAAATTCTGAGCACTCCAATGCTCTAGGCAGATGAGAAGCACAGAATTATAACTACAGTGTGGAATAATAGTTCCAGTAACAAAATGGTCTTCAAGGTACAGAAGAACTTCAAAGAA